AATTAAAAGAACAAATACTGAGGCAGATGTGGGGACAAAAATCGCCCTGAATGACTAAAAGAGAAACCAAGGCAGAGTTCTGAGCCAAAGCACTTTATTAAAGGGACCTGGCCCCCTCTAATGGACCCCAGACCTTCCTTGTGGCCAGAGGTACCCCTTCCTTCCACTGCCTTATTTTTATAAGGCTTAATACCAGATTTGTTACCTGAACATTCTAGAGCTGCTATACAAAGCACAGAATCCCGTTGGTTGACCTATGACACATAAGCTAAAATAAACAAAAAATGGTATGTCAGCAGGGTCACTGCTTGGGTGAAGTAGGGAATATCTTTGTTGACTAGGTGATCACAAGATGGATGGGCTCCTCTTTAGGTGGGGCAAGAGGAGGTGGTATGAGCTTTATATATGCGCCAAGAATATATGGGGGAGTCTTTCTGTACCATGCCTCCCATGTTTGGTTTGGTCATGGAATTAGAGCGAAACAGGATGGAGATATCCATGTCAGCGTTCTTGTGGTTATAAAAGCTATGGCTGGTAAACGAGTAGTGAACATTACATTAAAGTTTGAGGCCTATTATAGGGCCCTTTTATTAGAACCTGTATTGCTGTGTAACTTATAAAAAAAATGGATTAACACATTGCTTATCCTTATACCTATTATTCGATGACTAACTAAATATGTATTCTAGATGAGTATAGTAAAATAATTGCTAACAATCATTACCCCTTATAGAATTACCCCTTAAGTAATGAACTGACTAATATACCGATTAGCATTTGAGTAGAGTTCCTCAATGAATCATCCATCTTACAGAAAAGAAACAAGGCTTGTAAGAATGGAACCACATATTGTCCTAGTAATAAGATGGTCCTAGACCTCTACTATGGCATATAAAATTCTGGGTAATTAATCATTGTATTAATCATGCTAGCAGATAAAAGGGGTCAGTGGCCCTTTTGAATGCCAAAGACCCCTCATGGAACCCACTTAAAGGTTGTATGCCCTTGGAAGAGTGGATGTTCCTGAGGGTGACAATTGACTCTGATTGGTTAATAAGTAATGAGGGAATGAATACTATAATGAGAGATCAACCTGCTCTAATGAGGGGCTGGGAGATGTTACTCTTAATCATTCTAGCTACCAGACCACCCCCAGCCTCAGCCAATCTAGACAAAGGATCTACCACCCTGCCCAAACCTGCCAGAGTGGAACACAATAGGCCAGAATTCACCTTAGAATAAATTCTTTGTAAGGTTCTCTAGTTGGATGGGGTCTCCTAACCAGGATCTAAAGGCATGTACCCAAGGGATTTGGGCAATCCTCCTTCTCCATCAACAATGCCCTTCAGAGAGTGAAGAACATCCAGACTTCTGAAAAAAATCCTAATTCAATAATTGATTATTAATATGAGACAAAAAAATCATTTCTCTCACATACCTTTAAAGCATATTCTTTCATTGAATGCTATCAGCAAAAGAGTCAAATCAAGAGCAAAGATGTCCCAAGATAGACAAACCAAAGAGAATGGTCAAGGCCCTGGTTGACTAGTGATGTTCCAACTATACAGCCAATTAATTACATGAATAGTAGACTAGAACAAGTTGTAGAAATTATACACATGGTCCCATGATTCTATTACACATCATCATGACTTTCCCACAAGCAGGTGGCTATCAAAGGTGTTCTTTCTATGTGCCAATACCAGAAGTTACATAATCATAACTGAAAATCAACACAAAAATGATTGCACAATTCCCCTGGATAACTAATGATTTTATTTAGTGCAGCAGTTAAGGTTCATTACTGAATTTTATTTGTAAAAGCTATTAAAATCAAGAAACTTCCTGTAAAATCACAATAAGAATGTCAGAGAACTCAGCTCTGGTGTTCTTACCCAAATCTCTTCTACTGAAACACCTCATTCTATCAGGAATAGAGGGAAAAGATGAAAAGCAAGAATAAGAATAGAAAAAAGAAAAATGAGAAAACCCATAGAGAACCATGGGTGAGGTAGCCCTGAAGTCAGAGTTGACACTTATACCTGACCTGCCTCCTTCATCCTCCCACTTGACCAGGCCTCACCCTCCAAAGCAGCCAGGCTTTAGTAGTGCTGTGGTCCCTCTCCTTAACCACCTTTACTGACCAAAGCCTGAGGAATTTCTGGTTGGATTGGCCCACTTTAGTCAAAGGTGCTAAAGATTGTTACTCTTCAGTTCCATCCCTAAAATTAATTCATTAGGTTTAACTGCTGTTAAGTCTCATTTTCCCATAGTCCAGGGTAAAACAGGGGGCTGAACTTGAGAAAGAGGCTAAAAGTAAGGGAAGGAGCGGGGAGGGGTTATACAAAGTACGGAATCCCGTTGGTTGATACATAAGATAAAATAAGCAAAAAATGGTATGTTCTCAGGGTCACAGATTGGGTGAAGCAGGGAATATCTTTGTTGACTAGGTGGTCACAAGATGGGTGGGCTCCTTCTTAGGCTGGGCAAGAGGAGATGATAGAAGCTATATATATGCTCCAAAAACATATGGAGGGAGACTGAAATAGTAGCCTTAGGAATTCCTGGTTGGATTGGTCCACTTTAGCCAAGAGTGCTAAAGATTGTTACTCTTCAGTTCCACCCCTAAAATTAATTCATTGGGTTTAACTGCTGTTTAGCCCCATTTAACTTGAGAAAGAGGCTAAAGGTAAGGGAAGGAGAGGGGAGTGCAGTAAAACCTAACCTGATTACAAGCCCTTCTCTTTGACAACAGTGACAAGGCTGAAAAGTCAGTCAGTTCTGGTCCCAACCCTCCAAAAACAAAACACAACAACTGTCCCCTCTTCCTTAAGCTGAGGAGAGTTCCTGCTTTCCTCATTTCTCCTATCAGCTAGACCACAGAGTGTAACTGAAATAATCAAGTGGAAGGCTGATACAGGTCATTATACAAGTTATGCTTTTCCCTTGTAAATGCTGAAATAAATCAATTATGCAAATGAATTAAATTCAGCAAGTATTTAAAAATGTATTAAATGTTCCTCCATTAAAGTCTGGTTTTTATGTCAAGTTAGCAGTATGGAGGTGATCCTGGTCTCTTGACAAAGCTGATCATAACTTCTGGTAGGTCCTCCCAAGATAGAAAAGTTGAGTTTGGGTCAGTGATTGTGTTTTCCTTTCAAGGACTAGCATTGATAAGTTTGAAGAAGGTCAAAACTAGGCTGACCCCAGGTTGGTTAATTTTTTGGCCACAGAAATTCTCAAATCTCTATTAAGTGATAGGGCAGTTATGATTTGTATGAGTGAGGGAGTACATGCACCAATAAAGTTATAAATTCTTCAAGAATATATACTCCATATTGTCGATACCAATATAGACCAGTGCATCTTCCATGATAATTTCCTTATGATCTTTCACTTAGAGGAAAGAGCGCTTAACCTTTTTTATGTGTCATAGATTCCTTAAATACATAAAATGAAATACACAGAAAATTACCAAAGAAACCAATTATGTTGAAATACAGTTATTGATTTAAAAAAAAAGTTCATAGATCCTAGGTTAAGAAATTCTAAGTACAGCAAAGTGGAGAGAGATTGGAGTAAGACATACAAGCTAGATCTTTTTTGTAATAGGCAAATTGAAAAGGACCAATTAGAGTAATGACAGTGGAAATAAAGGGGACAGTTGAGAAAGATGGAGGATGGAGGGTGGAGGATGGAGGAAGAATCAAAAGGATTTGATTATTGTTGTTTGTCCTTTACTCTTGAAGAGAACTGTGACATCAGGGAGGTGATGCCATGACATGCAAGTGAATTGGATGTAATGGAGCAAGGGCAGTGGAAAGTCACCAACCCCACTTTCTCCTCCAGAGCCATCTGGGTCCAGTGGCCAGATATAGATCAGAACAACTGGAGATGGCCCAGGATGCAGTGGGGACCTAGGCTTTTTAACCTAACTTTAATAGGTATCTGTTTGACTGAGGCAATATCCATTCAATGATTAAGACTTAATAAAAAATGAAACAGAGAATGGCCTCTTTACCTGTCAAAGACAGAAACAAAAACAAAATCTGTCTGGAGGGGAAGATCCTCAGGGTTTCCCGCCAAAACAGAAACTGCTGCTATTTATGTTAATTCTGAGCCAATCAGGGTCCAAGCAATGATCAAGTAGGGCTTGGCCTGGTACCAATTGTTGGCCAGTCAATGAGAGCCAGAGTGATTTGGGGTTAAGGCTGGTCTTTAAGAAAACAAAAAGTTTCAGAAATTAAAATTTACATTTCCTTAGGGCAGAGCACCCACAAATAAGAGTATGATACCCTGTGAAGACAGAGGGAAATGAAAGGAAGGAAGGAACGAAAGAAGGCGATGTAGCCCAACTGGCCAGTTCCAATTTGGTCCCCAGTAGGCAGCTCCTTTTCTACCTACAAAGGTTGTTGTCTGAGGTCAGAAATAGAACTTGGTATGGATTAAATGAAGGAGGGGGCAGTAAGAGAAGTAGAAATCTAAGATGATTGAGGCTTCGAATATAGGTGCCTGGGAGGATATTGATGCTAAGAAGAGAAATACATAAGTTAGGAGAAAGTAGAAGTTCTGGGAGAATGATGAATTTTGTTTTGGATTTAAAGCTGAAAGGGACTTTAGCGATCATCTGGCTCACCCTCAGTTTTACACATGAGGAAACTGATGCTGAGAGAGATTAACATTCAGGTGGAGATCTGCAAAGTCAGACTGATGGGGTGATGGGACGTGGACCCCTAAAAGGAAAAGACCCTATCTTTGAAAGCAATCCAGTCCCTGAATTTTCCCAAACATTTCAGCAGCCCATATCATTTGGTCTCTCCCAAGGCGTCTGGCTCACCCCAACCCACCTAGATATTTGACGGCCCTTTCACAGTCTCCTCAGCCATCACAGACTACTTTATTCATGCCACGTTGAGGTCAGACACGGACACAGAAAGGAGAGGACTAGGGACAGGCAGAGCTGAGGACAGATGGGGAAGACAGACCCCTTAGGGCCAGACATGCAGGCAGGTGGGCAGAGTGGGGCAAAGGTCTCCTCTCCTGGAGCTTGCTGCTGAAACCTTATGTTTTGTCTCCCCCATTAGGACGGGGGGCGGGGGGGTCCTGGAGGAGGGGGACTGTCTTGCTTTGCTTTCTGTATCTCCAGTACTTAGTGATGCTGTGTGGCCCAGTGGATAAGAACACTGTACTTGGTATTGGTAAGACTTAAATTCAAATTCTGCCTCAGACACTTATTGGCCGCGTGATGCTAAGCAAGTCACTCAGCCTCTGGCAGCCTCAGTTTGCTCATTTGTACCCTCGGTCCCGGCAACACGCCAGACTCCAAGACGCTGTGTTTTGAGTACAGAGGTACTGAATGGGTAGAAAAGACAAGACGCGGCAACTGATTGGATGTACGAGGTTAGAGCCCGCCCCCGCCACCCCGCCTCCAACCAATGACCAGTCTCTTTGAAGGACGCCTGTCAAGGCCTCCTCCCGGTCTCCTGCCCTGAGTGGCGTGATGTTGTCCGCTTGGGGGGCGGGGAGGGGGGAGGCTAAAACTTCCTGTCCCGCGCTCGAACAGCTTCCGGCGGGAGGCGGAAGCCTCGCTTCTGGGCAGAGTCAGGGAGCTGGGACTGCTGGCCGCCCAGGACGAGAAGGTGAGAGCGAGGATTGTGTGCGTCCGGTCCGGGTCGGCGCCGGGTGACGGCCGCGCGGCGGAGCCCATCCCGAGCGGAGGCGGGCGGCGCAGCGCCGGGTGTCTGAAGAGAAAGTGGGAGGGGAGAGGAAAGCTGCCCCCGGAGCCTCCTTTCCCGCGAGTCAGCCCCGCTCTGGGGGGGGGGGCCTCTTGTCCGAGGCGCCGGGGTCGCAGTCTTAGGCCTCGGGCCTCTTCCTCCGGAGGGCGCGGGAGCGGTAGTGAGCCCCGAGCTGTCCGAGGTCTCTGGCGGGGTCTTTGGGGCGACGCTGGCTTTTCATCCCCGGGCGCACCCGGCCTCCCCGTCCCCGGGCTGAGCTTCTTGTCCGAAGGCCCTGGAAAAAATGGAGGCGGGTGGCCGTCCCCGCCTGGCAGAGGCCGTGTTCGGTCTGGACGTGTCACGCCAGGCTGCCCTCGGCCTCCCCGCCCTCCCTGGGGGTCCATAGCATTGGATTAGGACTCCAGCCCCAGCTGGGTGGACAGGTCACTTAGTCTTTCTGGGATTGTTTCCTCAACTGTAAAATGAGGGGCCGATGACCTTGAAGATCCCTTTCTACTCTAAAGTTATGATCCTATAAGTATCTGTGTTGTGTTTACCTATGTCATAAATACAGAGAATAAAAGGTAATTTCTTTACCTTTAAAATAGGGGCATTTGTTTTGTGATTGAAAGAGACCACTCTAGTGCTCTTCTGTAGTGTAAAGGAAGGTCGATGTTCCCTGACTCAGGAGAGCTAGATTTTAGCCCTAGCTTGCCTCTAAATGGCTAGATGACATTTGGTAAGCAGGTGCTTAATCATTTTGTGTCTTAAATTTTCTTTTCTGTAAAAGATGATGATTGATCCAGCTCGCAAATTGGGTTATTCTAAATTTGTTGGACTAAACAGAATAGGTTGGACATTATGAGGGCCTTTGCAGCTCTGAAATTCAGTGATTCTGACATGGTAGTGTCAAGTACTCCATAATTATAGAATTCGTTGATCTTTTAAAGTACTACTCCATACAAAGATTCGGAAATTATCAATTTGCTGTGTGTATCATGTTTCTTGCTTTTGAAAATGTTTTGTCTGCAGAATACACTCCCCTCAGTAGGACTTGTATGTTTATCTGTTAAAATACTGTTAATATCAATTCCTGTGGCCCAGCAGTATACAGAGAGGGCTGAAAAGAGCAAAGTTACAGACTGGGTAGTGGTTAGAGAATAGTCCAAGTCGCCTGGGTTCAAATTTTTCCTCAGATGCTTAGCACTTATGTAACCTTGGACTAGTTGTTTAACCTGGACTCAAGTTTTCCCACATAAAATGTGGAGGTTGGCTTAGGTAGCCTCAGAGGTCTCTTCCCACTCTAGATCTCACATCAAATCACAAAGCACTGTTAATTGAGATCACTGCAGATTAATGCAGTGTAATCTCAACTGGGCTTCACTATTGCGTGGAAGTCATACTGTTTTGTTTTGGTTTTTTAGTCAAATTTTAGAGACTTCAAAATTTGCTTGTCTTAATCTTTACACCTGTCTTAGAGATAGAGGAAAGGCAGAATGGTATAGTAAAATGATATGGAGCCAGAGGACTTGGTTCTAACCCCAGTTTGGATTCTTTGTGTGACCTTGAGCAAATCAGCTTCCCTGGGTCTCAGTTTATTTATAAATAAAATGGGAGAGTGGAATTAAATGGCTTTTGAGGCGACTGCCAGCTCTAGATCAACTATGCAATCTTCTATGAACTTTTCTAGGTGATAATCAGAGTCTGTGTCTTTTAACCATTCCCCTTCTTGTTTTCATCAACAGCTTTTTTGAATAGGTCAGATTGGAACTCTTCATTGACATCCATTGTTTCCTCATATTTTGAACTTTGCTTTAACCAACTTATAGACTGCATACAGATGGATGATTTGGACTGATTCTCACATCTTTCACTTTTTTCTTTTTGCTAAGATAGAGTCAATTTCAGTTTTTGTAACATTGTTCACTGTTTAATATAACTCACAACCATATTGACTATCATATCATACTGTTGATTTTTTCTACCTTTGCTGTCCACTGTTTGTTTTTTAGATGAACTGCTATCTAGCCATGCATCCTTGATCTTGTACTTGTGAAATTGTGGTTGTTTTTTTTTAACCTAAGTGTAACAGTTATATTTATTCTCATTAAATTTCATTAGCTGAGTAAACAGTTTGATCCAGTGTTCTACCTTGTTGAGATATTTTTGAATCTTGACTCTGTCATTCACTATTAGCTTAACCTCATAACTTTGTTCTTCTGCAGATTTGACAAACTTGCCTTCTTTTCTTTTATCTGGGTTAAAGATATTAAACTGCTCAGGGTCAAGCATAGATTCCCTAGGACATTTACTGGAGACATCCTTCCAAGTTAACATTAACTTTATTGTTTATTGTTAACAATAAGCATTTAATTACTATTCTTTGGATTTGGCATTCAACCAAGGAAGATTCTGAATCTTCCTAATTTGCAGTATCATCTAGGTCTTGTCTCTCTATCTTGTCTACAAGAATAGCAGGAGAGACTTTTATCAAAATACTTTATTGAAATCTAAATAAACTATATAGAATTCCCCTCATCTACTAGCTTAGAAACTCTGTCAGAAAAAATGAATTAAGATTAGTCTGGTACGTTCTATCCTTGAGGAAGTTATGTTGGTTCTTTGTCATCACTGTTCTTTTCTAATATGTTCACTAACTATCCCTTTAATAATACATTCTAGGTTGGAAATACGGCCAAATGTTTTCTGGTTGACCGCTGCTATGATGATGATGCTGAAGAGGAGACAGAGGAAGAGGAAGAAGAAGAGGAGGATGAAGAAAAGGAGGAAGATGAGGATTACTATCTTATCCAGGAGGCTATGGCTGTATTTGAGAGGCTTAAGAACATAGACTGCCCCTTCCTTGAGGGCCTTTGTATTACTGAACCAAAGACAATCAAGTAGCTCCTGTGTACTCCCTGTTGCACCAGGCTGGGAGAGGAATGCAGGCCAGCACAGACCAGGCCCCAGCAAACCTGGAGCAGCCCTCAGGGGACTAAATGGGCCCCAGCAAACATGGAGTAGGCCTCAGGGGACTGAATCCCAGGCAGCTGTGGTGGTTTCCAGACTTCTCAACCTACAAACACCAAAGACAGCCTAGAAGGTCTGTCAAACCTGGGTGAGAGAGGAGCACAGTCCAGCCCTCACCCCTGTACAGCCCAGGGGCAGCTGCTTCCAGAGCTCTCAACCCACAGACAGTAAGAGGATTGAACAGCTAATCAGAAGGAGATTACAGAGGTCTTTTTGCTGGCACTGATGCAGGATTCTGTTGCTTTGCCCATACTTGGATCTGGGTGGCAGTCCTGGGGTGAAGAGGAGTACTGGAATGGCAGAGCTTGTGGCAGCAGTAGAGAGGGAACCCTTCTCATAGGGCAGAAAAGAGTGCTTGTGGTCACTCACAGGCCTGAGCACAGGCCAGGTGAGGAGTAAACACCTCTCCTTAGATCATACCACCTTGGAAGAACTGAAAATTTATTGGTCCCTGGAAGTAACTCTAAAAACAGCTAAACAAAATCCCTGAAGCTTGGGACAATACATCCTCCATGCTAGAAGCAGAACCCTACCTTTCTTTTCTTGTCGTTTCTTTTTTTTTTTTTTTTTTGGTGAGGCAATTGGGGTTCAGTGACTTGCACAGAGTCACACAGCTAGGAAGTGTTATGTGTCTGAGGTCGGATTTGAACTCAGGTCCTCCTGACTCCAGGGCCAGTACTCTATACACATGTAGAACCCTACCTTAAGAAACAGTTAAAATGTCAAATAATTTGCTGAGGAAATGACCAAACAGCAGGAAAAAACTCAGACTATCTCAGAGACTTACTTTGGTAACAAGGAAGATGAAAACATACGCTCAGAAGACAACATAGTCAAAGCTCCTATATCCGAAGCCTCTAAGAAAAATATGAATTGATTTTAGGTCATGGAAGAGCTCAAAAAGGATTTTGAAATCAAGTAAGAGAAGTAGAGGAAAAATTAGAGAAATGAGAGTGATTCAAAACAATTAGGAAAAACAGCTTACTAAAGGAGACCTAAAAAAATACTGAAGAAAATAACACCTTAAAAAATAGGCTAGGCCAAATGGCAAAGGAGGTCCAAAAGCTTACTGAAGAAAATAATTCCTTAAAAATTAAAATGGAGCAAATGGAAGCTAATGACTCTATGAGAAATCAAGAAATCATAAAACCAAAAGAATGAAAAAATAGAAGACAATATGAAATATCTTACTGGAAAAACAACTGACCTAGAAAATAGATCTAGGAGAGATAATTTAAAAATTATTGGACTACCTGAAAACCATGATCAAAAAAAGAGCCTGGATATCATTTTTCAAGAAATTATCAAGGAAAACTGCCCTGATATTCTACCAGAGGTGAATAGAAATTGAAAGAATCCACCAATCACCTCCTGAAAGAGATCCCAAAAGGAAACTCCCAGGAATATTATAGCCAAATTCCAGACTTCCCAGGTTAAGGAGAAAATATTGCAAGCAGCCAGAAAGGAACAATTTAAATACTGTGGAAACACAATCAGGATGATATATGATTTAGCGATTTCTACATTAAGGGATCAGAGGGGTTGGAATATGAGATTCCGGAGGTCGAAGGAGCTAGGATTAAAACCAAGAATCACCCACCCAGCAAAACTAAGTGTAATCAGTGAGAGGGGGAAATTGACATTCATTGACATAGAGGAATTTAATGTATTCCTGAGAAAAAACAAGAGCTAAGTAGAAAGTTTGACTTTCAAATACAAGACTCAAGAGAAGCACGAAAAGGTAAACAAGAAAGAGAAATCATAAGGGACTTATTAAAGTTGAGCTATTTACATTCCTACATAGAAAGATACTTATAACTCATGATACCTTTCTCATTATTAGGGTAGTTGGAGGGAATAATATATAGAGTCTCAGGGTGAGTAGAATATGAAGGGATGATATCTAAAAAATAAGAGGTGAGAGGAATATACTGGGAGAAGGAGAAAGGGAAGAGTAGAATGGGGTAAATTATCTTGTATAAAAGAGGCCAGAAAAACTTTTACAATGGAGAAGATGGAGGAGGTGAGAGGGAATGAGTGAACCTTTCATCAGATTTGGCTTAAGGAGGGAATAATATGTACATTCAATTGGGTATGGAAATCTATCTTACCCTATGGGAAAGTAGGGGGATGGGGGTAGGGGGGATAGAAGGGAGGGTAGATTGGGGGAGGGGGTAATCAGATGCAAACACTTCTGAGGAGGGAAAGGGTCAAAGGAGAGAATAAAATAGATGGGGCGGGATAGGATGGAGGGAAATATAGTTAGTCTTTTCCAACATGACTGTTATGGAAGTGTTTTGCATGATTGCACATGTATAACCTATATTGATTTACTTGCCTTCTCAGTGAGGGTGAGTGGGGAGGGAGGAAGGGAGAAAATTTGGAACTCAAAAGTTTTAAAAAACAAACCTTAAAAATTGTTTTTACATGCAACTGGGAAATAAGATGCACAAGCATTTGGGTATAGAAATCTCTCTTACCCTACAGGAAAATAGACGGGGAAGGGGATAAGTTGGGGTGTAGGAGATAGAAGGAAGGGCAGATTGGAGGAAGGGGTAATCAGAATGCACGCTGTCTTGGGGTGAAGGGAGGAGAGAGATCGGGAGAAAATTTGGAACTCAAAATCTTGTGGAAGTGAATGTTGAAAACTAAAATAAATAAATTAAGGAATCATCCACCACTTTACAGGAATGCCGACCTAAAGAAGACATAAGAGACAGGAAGAACTACGTCATGAACTTAAGTTGTGTGGGCCAGAAGACCAGAATCTCATGAAGGGCTGTACCAATGTAAAGAAACAACTCTTTCTTTGATCAGTTAATGAATCTCATTAGAAGTTTACGTGATAAAGACAATAGTTTCTTTAGTATGGGGGAGAATTTTCATGACTGTGTAAAGAAGAATGAGATGTTGTTGAGGAAGTTCTCTAATTCACATCTGTTATCTGTTTTATATGGGTACCTCCCTGTATTGATACAGTATATACATTCCTTTTATGCTTTAAGTTTCATGAAAAGCTGTGGCCAGAAATACTGATTACCTGATGATGAACCTCTCTAAAAAGTTAGGTTATTTATTATATGAGAAACCCAGTAAATCGTTGGGCCTGATCCTTTCCAGCCCATTAGGGCTCAGCAGAGCCTTGCCAGATCTTGCATTGTGATTCCATAGACTTCAAGGTTTTTTAATTTTGGTCTCAGATTAGAGGAAATGTAGTTCCTTCCTGTTGTTGAAGAGGATGTGAATTTTGTTTTTTGATTTTGTTTTTTTTTTTTTAATCTCATTTTGTGAAATATTCTGTTGGTATTTTTATTCCTAAAAATCTTAAGTCTATAAATTGGATATTACTGTCATTTTTATTATATTACTATAACACAACCATGAACACCAAATACCTCCAGTAATTTGGGTTTCTTTTGTTTCTGTGAAAATTGTTTTATATAAGTACATGTATGTTTTGGTAAGTTAATTCCCAGATAATAAATATTGTTATTTTAAGTGGTATTATTCTTTCTCTTCTTTTTCCTGGTTTTTGTTAATGATATATGAGAATGCTGATAAATTTTATGAGTTGATTTTATGTTGTACTCTCAATTTATTTGGTTTCCTTGAGTATTCTACACAAAACAGCCTGTCATCCACAAGCTGATGTTTTAGTCTTCTCTTTTCCAGTGTTTATTCTTTTAATTTATTTTTCTTGCCTTATTTTTGTAGCTAACATTTTAAGAACCATGTTAAATAGCAGTAGTGGGAGAAGGCTTTACTCCTGTTTTAGTTGGAAAGCTAACATTGCTTTTGATTTCTAGTAAATGTTTTTTTAACATGTTAAGTAAAATCCTTCCATTCCTATGCTTCTAAGTGTTTTCAAGGTAAATAAGTAGTTATTTAATCATAGGCTTTTTCTGTATCGGTTATGCTAATTATTTTTCCTAGTTTTGAACCATTTTTCAATTTCTTTTTAACTTCAACTTGAAATGTAATGAATTTTAAAACTGCATAGCTGTTTTCTATTTGTAAGTATTTTATATCAGTATCCATTAGTAATGTTCTATAGCTTGATACTTTTTCCATTTTGGGCATCAGGGTTGTATTTTTCTCTCTCTTTTTTTTTTTGGTTAGGCAATGGGGTTAAATGACTTGCCAAGGGTCACGCCAGCTATTAAGTGTCAAGTATCTGAGGCTGGATTTGTACTCAAGTCCTTCTGACTCCAGGGCCAGTGCTTTATCCACTGTGCCACCTAGCTGCCCCAGGGCTGTATTTTTCTCATGAAAAGAATTGGATAGAATGATTCTCTCTCAGTTTTTGAAAAAAGTTTATATAGCATAGGAATTCTTAGTTCTTCAGCTATTTGATAGAATTTTCTTGTTAATCCCTTCTAGTTCTTTCCCCCTCTTTTTTTAAGGAATCAGATCATTTGTGTGGTACAATGGAAAGAAAACTGGCCCTGGAGTCATAGAACCTGGGCTAAAATCCTGCCTCTGCTGTTTAATTCTGCAAATAACTATGTACAAACAAATTATAATTCCCCCTCTCGAACCTATTTCAAGTGTTTATACCTTAACCCTGAAGCAGCTAGGTGGCTCAGTGGATGGAGTCCCAGGCCTGGAGTCAAGGAAACTCGTCTTCCTGAGTTCAGATTTGTTCTAGCTGTATGACCCTGAGCAAGTCACTTCACCCTGTTTGCCTCAATTTCCTCATCTGTAAAATGAACTGGAGAAGGAAATGGCAAACCACTCTGGCATCTTGGCCAAAAAAACCCCAAATGGGGTCTTGAAGAATTGGACACAACTGAACAACAATAATTTTTGACTAATTGACTCTGGCCTTCTCTGGCCTTGAAGAATTTACATTATATTGGGGAGAATATCATGTACATAGAAAATTAAATATAAAATATATACAAAATAATTTCAAAGGAGGAGACTAACAGCTGGTGCTAATGTGGGGACTGTAAGTTAGAAGGAAAAAAGCTCTGACTTTGGAGTTGTAAGATCTGGGGTTCAAATCTTGGTTAACTTCTCCTGGCCTTATTTCTTCATCTGTAGAGTGTTGGGGAATTCCTCCACTCAGAGGTCCTACAACCCTTCTGGATAGTAATTCCTTCACCTTGGTCTGTTTGAAGGTCAAATAAATTAGGAAGCAAGGCTAGAAGATTCAAAAGCTTAATTAGCATCAGTTGATGGGCATTTGCCTAGTGGTTAGCAACTCCAGTAGAACTAGGGGAGATAACATACACATTCAATTATATATTTATCTCTATATAACAACATAGATATATGTTTTTATATAGCCTTAAGGCAAAAGGATTAGGGTTAGGGTCTAACTTGTTAACCTTGTTATCAAAGTTCAAGTTAATACTGGTGGGGATGTTTTCTTTAGTTGATCCCATCAAAATATCCAGGTGGGACTTGAGAACTCCTTCAATGTAGGTGATAGAATCGGTGGGTTTATCTTGTTGCTAAATAAAAAATTGTTGTCATTGTTCAGTCATGTCCCACTGTTCTTGACTCTGGGGATTTCATGATATTTCAAAGATTTGGGGATTTCAAAGATACTGGAGTGGTTTGCCATTTCCTTCCCCAACTCATTTTACAGATGAGGAAGGAGATTTTCAGGTTCTGGCAATGGAGGGTAAGGAATGAGATCCCAAGAGCTGAAATGGAAAGATTTTGGCCCAGGGCAACAGGTGAAAGGATGAGGGGAGAGGGAGGGAAGGGGAAGAGAAGGATAAAGAGAGGGAAAGAGAAATAGAAAAGAAAGGAGGGAATGGGGAGAGAGAGAGAGACTGAGCTATGGCAGAGGAGGGAAAGATTGGATGACGCTACCATTTGTACCTGCCTGCTGCACGATTGAGAGAAATTCCAAGAAAAGAGGTGCTCTTTCCCTACTCCCAGTATGTGTCTATTAACAAATGGTAAATATAATTGGCTGTTTCTTTATCTAAATGTTTCAGGTAACCTGGATTTTGTTTTAATCACAAAGAGGTCAGGTCTGCTAGAGATAAACATAATTGTAAATTAAGGTAAAGAGCCAAACTTTTGCCTAAATGTTAGAAATTTACCAGCCTCGGGGTTCAGAGTGGTAGTTACTCCTGACCTTTCATGTTGTATAAATTTCCTGTAATACTGTAAAGGAGTTCAGCTCCTGGCAGGTTCACATTAGATTCAGCCAAACCAAAAAAGGACAGTGGAGCAACAGATAAGGGAGTCATACCAGTTTACTGTTTTTGTGGCAGCTGGTGAAAAGGAAGTGAGGAATCATCCACACCCCCTTGCCAGTGCCCACTTGATTTATAGAGAAGCAGACAAAGAAGGCAATTTGCCAGCAGTAGGCTCGCAAGTTTGCATTAACTTTGGCAATGTCATGGTGACCTAGCATAGAGAGGCACAGTGGGCTGTTTACAAGTTAAGCTCAAATGTTTATATTATTTATGGTTATATAATGATGTGCAAGCACAGTGAAGTTGTTTACAAGCCATGGTCCTGGGGAAAACAAATGCGTATCACCTTACGTACAAATATAAATTAGCAAGGCATAGCAGAGATAGCTAAGTAGCAGTGGATAGAATACTAGGTCTGGAGTCAGGAGGACCTGATTTCAAATTCAGTCTCAGACATTCACGAGCTACAAGACCCTAAGCAAGTCACTTAACCTTGTTTACCTCAGTTTCCTTTGCTGTAAAATGAAGTTGTTAATAGCATATACCTCCCAGGGCTGTTAAAAGGATCATGAGATAATATTGTAAAGCTCTATGTAAATACTAGTTATTATTATTAGGATGAGAGCACTTAGACCTGAAGGACTATTAAATTGCCTTTAGGTTTAAAGCCAGCCAGTTATTCTAACCAAGCGTTGTTTTTGCTGTGGATCAAGCATTTGGGTTTGGAATTAGGAAGACTCCTCTTCATGAGTTCAAATCCAGCCTCAAACACTTAGTAGCTGTGTGACCCTGGGCAAATCTCTCCAATATCTTTGCCAAGAAAATTCCCAAAATGGGGGCATGAAGAGTTGGACACAACTGAACAACAACATATGTATCCTTCTCCCTCACCTGTGAGCCATCCTTATAATAAAAAAATCGATGAGGACAAAAACAAATGACTTGAGCAGAAGTGTGATACAGTCTGAATTAGTGTAATAGATTTTTTTTAAATAAATTTTATTTTTTTAATTAGAAGTATTTATTTTTTCTCCCTCACTTATCCTCTTCCCCATTAGAAAAAGAAAAACTATTCTTGTCACAAATAAGACTAGTCAAGCAAAACACATTTTTGCATTGGCCGTGTCAAAAATGCATGTCTCATTCTGAACATTAGTCATTCTCCTCCCCGCTCCTCCCCCTCTGTCAGGAGGTAGGTATCATTCATGGGCTTAGTCAAACTGACTGTTAAAGACCTTAGCTTAAAAGGCCAAGGTCCCACACTGCATCCAGGGCCATCTCCAGGAATCCTGATCTATATCTTGCCACTGGACCCAGATGGCTACAGAGGAGAAAGTGAAACTGGTGACTTTGCACAGCCCTCCCTCACTTAAATCCAATTCACTTGCAGGTCATGGCATCAGCTCCCAGATATCATAATCCTCTTTGAGAATGAAGGATAAACAACAGATGAGGAAGCTCAGGCAAACAGGGTTAAATGACTTGCCTAGGGTCATACAAATGGGGAGCATCTGAGACCAAATTTGAACTCAGGAAGATGAGTCTTCCTGACTTTAGGCCCAGTGCTCTTATCTACTGTGCCACTTTGCTGCCCAGAGTCTATTTACACAACCCTGTAATTCCTTTTATTTGACCTCTTAAAACATCTTATTCTGAGGAGAAAACGTTTTCTCCAAACTTACAGCGCACAGATTTGATCTATTCTATAAGAATGTGGAGTTGAGCTGAACTTTAAAGATTGCTAGAGATTGTAAAAGACAAAACCAGGAGTGATGGGGTCAACGGTGATCACTCAGATATAAGTTTGAGACCCTTATGAAAGGGTCAAGAGAGAGGTCAAGAGTGAGGGTGAGATTTTGTGTACAGGTGCGCATCTCAGCCTTGCCCCTTTGTTCTGGGCTTATTTGTACCCCTGTGAGGAAGGATACAAGTCGTAATAGGAAATCTCATTAAAAAGTAACAGTAATCCCCACCTTCTTTAAATCTTTTGCCTTCATTGTATAAATCGACATTTTAAAGTTAAAAACATCTTTTCTAAAACCAAAATATCCTAATAGCTGACACCTTTTTCTACCTTGATTTCGCTGTTATATGCTTCTGTAGGCTGCTGACAAAAAATTAGACCAGGCCACGTTTCTACCCCCTGCTGTTTTAAGAGACGTTATGTCTTCATTCATCCTCTCTAGGCTAACCTTACCTCCTATTTCCTCTGGGACTTTGCTCCATCAATCATTCCTATCCCTGTCTTGTCTTCAATTTCTCCTCTATTACCTTTTTCCTTCCCCTATATCAACAATCATGCTTCCAGGTTTCTCTTCATCTAAAAAAAATAAATAAACCCTA